CGAACCTGCAAACCGTCTGTTTATGGGATTGTGCGCAGTGGCTGAAGCGGCACGAAAGCCTGCGTCTAGTGTGTGCTACAAAACGCACGTACGGTAGTATTTAGCGTTTAGCACGCTCTGTGTTACCAGATGAAAGCGCGCTGTAGGGCAGTCTGATGCCCAATTTGTTTCAACGTATCTCCAGCGCAGCCCGTTGTATAGGGCCACATATTAAGCTATCTGCCAGCTTTATCGTTTGTCCTTGTACCTGTTTAGTGGGGTTAGTGTCTTTCTTCCCTCAAAGCATTCGTGATGGCATCTCGTATTGAAATTGGACCTGGTTAACGCGCCAAAAACTCACATGTAGAGTTTAAACGGGAAAACAATGAAAGCGCCCCTAATCCGATGCATAGTGCTAGTTGATTTATGGACCACTCCTGTGGTGTTGCCATGACATTACGTCCGTAGCCGTTAAAAGACATAGGTCTTTGTGAATATCCACACCTTTTTGTGAAATCTCGTTCTGTTGTACTTTGTTTAAAAACGCTTTATTGAACAGGACGACCTTACAGTTAAGATACTATCTGTGGTCATCTACATAGACAAATTCCAGCTTGAGAGATCCCGCCTTCCATCGATACTTATTCACATTTTGTACCTCTAACAATAATTATCTTCAGCCTGGATTTTTAACGAAGTAACAGTGACACATTTTGCTCCATACTCCTATATCTTTTGTATGAGGAGCCGATGGAGCCCGCCATCATAGGTCTCCTTAAGAGAGGACTGTGCATTTATCTTAAAATCGGGCCGACAATTTTTTTTATTTCCTCATCCTTCTCGATTAGTTTCTCTCATGCCTTCGAGAAAAGACCATCGGGAATTCGGGAGACCTTCCACAAATTCCTCTGCACGCTCACACCTTCCCATCTGCGAGTGGCTTCACCCGTTACAAGTTCTCAGAGGAAGTTTAGATTCTCTCAATTTATGTATCATGGCCGTCCTTTAACATAATGTCCCCTCCAACACGTCACCAGGTAAATAATCGTTGTTCTCCCGAAGCACATTGTCTAAACCACCGCTTCTTGCTTGTCGATTACGCTCGTGAGGATTCCGCCCTGGCCATTTGAATGTCAAGGTCTAACCCCCACTGTCAGTCCTAGCCTAGGCCTATCGCAGCGTGGCAGTCCCATGCGCACCATATTGAATCTTCGTACACTCTTGCTGATCCGTCATCATATTTTCACAGTACTTCAGGGATGTGCCTATCCTTTTTCTCCACACCGCTTTGCGAAGCGGTTTTCCTCATGACTATTTTTTTGAAAATACGGGTCCCCTATACTCACACCATATTTTCTATTCAGGAGTCTTGTTCACTGTCTGGCGCGGAACTCGCCTTTATTCTGAAAGCTTACAATTTGGAATTCGTCGGTATTATTTTCACGAGTATCATAGGCAAAAGTCAAATACCTGGCTAAATTGGAAAACATTTCTTAATTACAGAACATTGTCTTTAGGTTCTAGTTTACAGCTCATCGCTTACGTAAAGCATTCTCGTCTATACTGTCTGTGTTTTACCATTTAGCCCGGTGTTGTTGTTACCTTTGGAAGCTGAACAATAAGAGCTACTTTAATTAAGCTTAATCTAGATGATATTCACTGGATAACTCTGGCCTATGGATTTTTTGCCCTTATTTGTAAATAAAGAACCCTTGCAAGGCAAGATTGACGTTTGCGAAAGCCATGCTGGGCAGCACATAGCGTGTTTTTCTGCTCCAAATGCGTCATTGTGTGTCCTTTAACAAGATGCCCCATGGTCTTGCAGAAAATTTAGATTAAACTTATAGGGTGACAATTTTCTGGCTCCAGTACAGACCCTTCTTTGTTAACCGGGGTTACAGAAGCAGCTTTCGATTCCTCTTACAGTTTACCTTCATCTATGGACTTTAGAATTGTTATCGGGCCTGATTCCCATATTTCGTCGACCAGCTCTCAAAGAGCGGCTGGATCTAGACCAGATAATTTGGCAGTCGTGATTCCGAATAACTCTGCCTATTTCAACGCAGACGTCAAGTAAGTATTATCTGGCAGTGCAACCGATGCAAAGTCTTGTCGTTGTTATTATGGCTTAGGGTGGGAGGAGAGAATGAATCTTACAGGTAAAAACAGTCTGTAAGAGACTAGAGGGTTGATGTCCTCACTTGACTATCCATGACTAATGCATTTTTCTGGGACCTCGGCGTTGGAATCAGGTTGGAATTTCCCTTCCTACTACGTACGTGTGTTTAACTCATAGTTTTTAAATTCATCACTGCTGGCCGGATTCGTGTTTAGCGCTTCCCTGCCAATGCCTATAAACTGGCATTAAATAAAATTATTATTATTAGCCCGCGTCTAAAGCTACCAAGTGGGCATTTGTGCTCTTACAAATATATTCAGTGGCTGGAACCTGACAATGGGGATGGAGGGTGGGGTCAATAACTCAGCGCGCTTAAAGCTATCACGGTGAACTAAAGACCGCAACTTGGAAGGTTCTTAACTGGCGGGATAACTCCGACCTCGTAGTCAGTCCATTGTGTGTTTGTTCTGAGCGGCGGATTGATGGACTGGTGATAGGGCTGCAATGACTCCTTTTTAATATGGCCTTGATGGCACTCTCACTCCGAGGGTTGCAAGCCGGGTGTAGCGGCATGCCTATGGGCGACTCCGGCCGCGTCAGCCATCTGCGGCCTCTCCCATCTCTGCCATTCTCGACTGTGTCTTGACACCAGATCCGCGTGGTGCAGGAGGAGACAGTGAGGTAGACGCTGCGAAATCCCTACTATAGACTAGCTCGCACAAGTCACCGTGCCTGCTCTCACTATGCTCTGGGGCATACGGCAGACATCGTCGAAATCTGTGGTCCGACTGCCAAAAAAGACATCTAAATGCCATAGATTCTTTTCTGTTAATGAAGCTTCTATCTGCAATTTATTACCCAGGAACGCAAAAACCTCTCAAAATTATCTTTCTTTATGAAAAAATAAACTATCACTCGCTCTCCACATTCAGAGCAAATCCCACAGCTCCCGAGTGTTGTGATGTAACTTGGGAACTATAGTCTTGTTAAGTAGTCTCATCCATAATTAGAAGCTGTTGACTTTGCTTTTCATCACCCTATCCGGTGGACTCTTGAACCTGCGGCGATTAATTATTTACTTATCTACCCCTTCTCTATTCACAGGAATGTAGCGGGCAACGTCCTTCCACCTTCGTAGTCAACAATTTCTACTCCGGGCTGCAGTCATCTCTCATACTGCAGTCTTTCTCCTACTCAATCTCAATGTTGAAACGCACTTTTATTTCCGAAAACGTAAATACACTTGCACGGCAAAGTCAGAAGTTTTCCGCTGTAGGCCTTATCATGCTGTGAATGTGCCACGTTGACTGCTGTAGACTTAAATTCAATACCGTTGTTTTTACTAATACCGGAAGTTTGCCTTCCAGAGTCCGATATTTAAAAGCTATAAACAGGATTCCTTGTCCATCCACTCGGACAGCTGTTTATTTTCATCCCTTTTATTGGAAAATTAAGGCTAATAATTTGTTCACCAAATAGCTGAAAACGCTCCAGCATTCGTTAATTGATCTACTTTAAATTACTGTTCACGATATTGTGAAGAACAGATTTCGTATATTGATGACGTCTCCATTTCAACTGTTCGTATCTCACCCTAGGGGATTTAGACCGAAAGAAAATGTGGCATTCAAAAGGCACTGGAATATGATCATTAGATCCCATTGCTGGGTGACCTTGTAAGTCTAACACCCTCTGCGTATGGTCTGGAAGTAATGCATGCCCTTCAGAATAGCAAGATCGTAAACTGTAACATGCTGAACTGTCAGCTCAATTAATATGCGACGCATTGAAATCTCAGATGATCATGGCTTCTAAGCCTGGACACAGAGCAGTCTAGGACGCATTTCGTAATTGGGTTCTGGCAAGGAGGCCTTATGATAGGTGATCAGGAAACTATGTAATTCGTCTCTCGATTTCATTTTGAATTTACGAATTTTGTATTAAGGGACAGCAGCTTATAGATCTCAAGTGCACTTGGCCGAAAAAACATTTAATCTGGAAAGGTAGTCAAGTCAACCATCCGATACTTTTCTAAAAATAGAAACCCACCCGCATAAATTCTGGAGCTTTAAACAGATTCAATGATCCATGTTTCTATGATACCTAGTATACGTCTGATCATATGCACTGCCGTCTCCCTGTGCTCCAATGACTATATCTCAGGTCTATAAACGTAAATATAAATTCGTAGAAGATGTTCGGATTTCGGTTTAAGCTCAGGGCTTCCCAGGATGAAGGGATCTTCCGTGGGCAGTTTGTAATCTGGGGTCGAGTGAAGAAGGCAGCGATGTGCGGTCACCCTAGAAGCCAGACATTTCTACACAGACTGCCTTATTGTCTGCCTCTCCAGGGAGGCAAATTCGCCACCATCGTCAGTGTCTGCGCCCCGCCGATGACCTGCCACGACGCTGCAAGGGACAAATGTTTTGAAGACCTGCACGCCCTCCTGGCGTCTGTGCCGAGATCAGATAGGCTGACTGTCCTTGGTGATGTCAATGCCCACGTCAGCGCAGAACATGCTGCCTGTAAAGGAGTGCTGGATCTCCATGGTCTCAACGGCTCCGGTGCCAATGGCCTGTTTCTTCTACGAACTTGAGCTGAACACCGACTCATCCTGACCACCACCTTCTTCAGTCCCTCGATGCGAGAGAAACCCACTTCGCTGCACCGTCTGTCGCGACACTGACTCCTGATGGACTAGGTCCTCGTCCGGAGGCGGGACCAGCAGGACGTGCTGATGAAAAAGGCGATCCCGGATGCTGATGGGTGAACCGATCATCACCTCGTCATCCGGAGATGCGCATTCGCCTTCAGCCTTGCAGGAGACATTAAGGTAAGAGACCCTCATTTATGCTGAATATTGCTTTGTTGTCCTTGCCTGCTCACCATCTCCATTTCATCAATGAGCTATCTCAACGACTACCCAACCTTCGCAGTCGTCGAGGCCACCGCCGCCACTGGCGAAAACGCCTCCGTGGAGAACCCATGGTGCCAACTGTGGGACACAGTCCGGTCGCCGGCCTTCGCTGTCCTCAGTCGCTTACATCCGCACCGGTTCGATGGTAACGACGCCGCCATCAGCAGCCTGCTGAGCTAGAAGAGCCGCCTTCACAAAACCCACGTCGATCGCCTTAACAACGACAACAAGGCCGTTCTCTGCCGTAGTTGCAACCCTGCGCAACAGCGACTGCGAGAGATATGGGACGCTTGGGCGGCTCGCAAGGCCGAGGAACTTCAAGGGTAAGCGGACCGCAACGGATGGAAAATTTCTTCTCTGCGATCAAGGCTGTCCACGGTCGCCAACCAAAGGAACTGCTCCTCTTCTCAGCGCTGATGGAAGCACCCTACTAACCGAGAAGACACAAATTCTTCAACAATGGTCTGATCACTTCAAAAGCGTCCCCAACCGCCCCTCCACCATCTCTGACGCCGCCATCGCCCGTCTGCTGCAAGTGAAGACCAACGTTGACCTCGACCTACCGCCCTCTCTCCGCAAAACCATCAGGGCCGTGCAGCAACTCTTCACGAATAAGCTTACCGGATCTGACACGACCCCTACTAGGATCTACAAGAACGGTGTTCCCCATCTCATGGATTATCTGACTGCGCTCTTTCAGGAGATGTGGCGTCAAGAATAACCCCTTTGGAATTTCAAGTACGTCAGAATCATCCATCTCTACAAGCAGAAAAGTAACCGCCAACTCTGTAACACTCATCGAGGCATCTCCTTGCTGAACATCGCAGGGAAGATCTTCGCTCACATCCTTCTCAACCTCCCGAACGGCCATCCGGAACAAGGTCTCCTACCGAAAAACCATTGCGGCTTCCGCCGTTATCGTGAGACCACAGACATGATCTTCGTCGCCCGCCAACTTCAGGAGAAGTGCCAGGAGATGCGGACCAACCTGTACACTACGTTCCTGGATCTGACGAATGTATTCGACGTGGCGGGTTGCAAAGGACTGTGGAAAATCATGGAGAAATTCGGCTGCGCCTAACGGCTCACCCAAACCATGTGTCAGCTCCACGACTCCATGATGACGCGAATGACCGACAATGAGACAGTGACCAAAGGAATTAAGCAGGACTGCGTCCTCGCGCCCACTCTTCTCAGTCTCATGTTTTTGCCATGCTGATGGACACCTACCGTGACGAACGTCCTCGAATCCGCATCGCCTACGGGACGGATGGCCAGCTCCTCAATCCCCGGCGGATGCACTTCTAGTCGACTGCATCCACAACCACCGTCTATAAACTTCTCTGCGCCGACGACTGCGCCCTCAACGCCACTTCGGAAGGGA